CTTACATATGATGCAGAAATTTCACAGCTATTTATTTACCCAGAAAAAGTTAAAACATATGCCTAGACAAAAAATTGTATGTTAAAGAAGATATACAGATGGCCAATAGGCACATGAAAAGATGCTCAACATCACTAATCATCAGAGAAATGCAAAGCAAAACTACAGTTAGAATACTACTTTATGCCTGTTAGAACGGCTATAATCACAAAGACAAAAAATAACAAACGTTGGAGAGGATGTGGAGAAAAGGGAATCCTCATACACTGCTGCTGGGGATGCAAACTGGTGCAGCCACTATGGAAAACAGTAAGGAGATTTCTCAAAAAATTAAAAACAGAAATACCATATGATCCAGCTATTCCACTCCTGGGTATTTATCCAAAGAACTTGAAATCAACAATTCAAGGAGATTTATGCACCCCTATGTTCATTGCAGCATTATTCACCATAGCCAAGATGTGGAAGCAACCCAAGTGCCCACTGACTGATGAATAGATAAATAGATAAATAGACACACACACATGCACACACAATGGAATACTACTCAGCCATAAAAAAGACAAAATTGTCCCACTTGCAACCACATGGATAGACTTTGAGGATATTATGTTAAGCAAAATAAGCCAGAAAGAGAAAGACAAACACCATACGATTTCACTCATTTGTGGAAGATAAAAAAACTTACAAAGAGAACAGTTTAGTGGTTAGCAGGGGGAAGGGGGGTGGGGGGTGCGCACAAGGAGTGAAGGAGCACATTTACATGGTGTTGGAAAAATAATAATGTACAACTGAAATTTCACAATGTTATAAACTATTATGACCACAATAAAAAAACGTAATTAAAAAAAAGGAAAATAACAAATGGCAAGGATGTGGAGACACTGGAACCATTGTGCATTACTGGTGGGAATGTAAAATGGTGCAGCCAGTATGGCAAACAGTTTGGTAGTTCTTCAAAAGCTAAACATAGAATTACCATATGATCCAGCAATTCCAATCCCAGGTGTATACCCAAAGGAACCGGAAGCAGGGACTTTAACAGATATTTGTCTGCCAATGTTTATAGCAGCATTCCTCACAATAGCTAAAATGTAGAAGCAATCCAAGTGTCCATCGATGGATGAATGGATAAATAAAATGTGGTATACACATACAATGGAATGTTATTTAGCCATAAAAAGTTCTGATACAGGCTTACAATATGGATGAATCTTGAACACATTATGCTAAGTGAAATAAGCCAGACACAAAAGGACAAACATTCTATGATTCCACTTATATGAGGTACCTATAATAGGCAAATTCATAGAGACAGAAAGGAGAATAGTGGTTACCAGGGGCTGGAAGGAGGAGGAATAGGGAGTTATCGTTTAATGGGTATCAAGTTTCTATTTGGGGTAATAGAAGAAGTTTTGGCAATAGATAGTGGTGATGGTGCATGACACTGTGAACGAAATTAACACGACTGAACTGTTCACTTAAAAACAATAAATTTTATGTTATATATACCTTTCCCTCAAAAAAAACCACACCTGTATGTGAATGTTTATAGCAACTTTATTCTTAATTGCCAAAAAGTGGAAAAAACGACAAATATCCACCAACAGGTAAACAGATAAGAGACTGCAGTAATTTTCAATGGCATACCACCTATCATAAAGAGCACTGAACTGCCAAAGAACTACAGCGTGGATACATCTCAAAACCACTATGCTAAGGGAAGGAAGCTAGACATAAAAGAGTACATACCCTATAACTCTACTTACGTGACATTCCTAAAAATGCCAAAAGCATAGGGGCAGAAGTCATCGCCAGGCGCTGGGGGTGAGAGAAGGGCAGAGTGCAGAGGAGAATGTGGGGACTTTTGGATGACAGAAATGCTCTGTATCTTGATTGTAGCGGCGGTTATATGATATACATGTGTCAAAACACATCACACCGTACATTTAAAAGGGTGAATTTTACTGTTTGTAAATTATACTTCAATAAACCTAACCTTATAAAAACTATGCAGACTTTTAAAGGCTTTTAATATATATTGCCAAATTGCCCTTCCATTAACTTAATTTCTTCTCCTACTCCCATTTAATTTACATTCCCACTGGCATTGTACAAGTGCCTGACTGCACCCTCAGCAGCCTCAATACCACCAGATTATCATTTGAGACTTTTCCAATGGGATAAGTTCTCTAAAAATGTTGCCTCACTGTTTGCTCTGCATATCCCTTAGTTTTTAGTGACAGCGAACTTTTTTTCATCTATTTCTCAGACGGTTATATTTCTTCTCTATTCTATCTGCTCATTCTTTTAATCATTGTTTTAAGAAAGGATTTAGTATTTTTCTTATTCTGTTAGAGCTTGCTTTATATCCTCAAGTATTTCTCATACATACACTTTCCACTTTCTCATTTGCCTTTCGTTTTTTCAATTTTTTAATATATAAGCATCTTAAAATGTGAAATTTCTCAATAGTTTTTAAGATTTCTTTTTTTTACTTAGAAATTTCTTTCCTCATGTAGAGTTCACTTAAATATTCAACTACATTTTTTAAAATTTTTTATAGACTCAATTTTTTAACTTTTTAAATCTCTGCTGTCTGATACAGTGGCTACTAGCCACATGTGGTTATTTACATTTAAATTAATTAAAATCAAGCTTTTTCCCCAAAGCTTTTTTTCAGTCTTATCGCTTCAGGTCTTACATTTAAGTCTTTAATCCATTTTTTTTTTAATTGGGAGCACTGCTCAACAGTCTTTTTTTTTGGTGAGGAAGATTGGCCCTGAGCTAACAACTGCTGACAAGCTTTCTCTTGTTTTTTTTTCTCCCCAAAGCCCCAGCACATAGTTGTATATCCTCATAGTAGGTCATTCTAGTTCTTCTTTGTGGGATGGTGCCACAGCATGGCTCAATGAGCAGTGCATAGGTCTCTGCCCAGGATCCGAACCAGCAAACCCCAGGCTGCCGAAGCAGAATATGCAAACTTAACCATTTGGCCATGGGGCCAGCCCGTTCAATCCATTTTGAATTAATCTTTATGTATGGTGTAAGGTAAGAGTCCAATTTCATTCTTTCACGTGTGCTGTCCAGTTTTCCCACCACCGTTTCCTGAAGAGACTATCCTTTCGGCATTGTATATTCTTGGCGTTCTTGTCAAAGATTAATTGATCATATATGTGTGGGTTTATTTCTTGGCTCTCTATTCTGTTCTATTGGTCTGTGTCTCTTTTTATGCCAATAGCATACTGTTTTGATGACTATAGCATTGTAATATAGTTTGCAATCAGGAAGTATGATGCCGCCAGCTTTGTTCTTTCTCGAGTCTGCTTTGGCTATTCAAGGTCTTTTGTGGTTCCATGCAAATTTTAGGAGTGTTGTTTCTATTTCTATTTCTATAAAACAAAAGCCATTGGAATTTTGATAGAGATTGCATTGAATCTGCAGATTGCTTTGGGTAGAATGGATACTTTAACAATATTGATTCTTCCAATCCATGAACACAGGTCTTGGCAACAAATTTTTGCAATTGACACCGAAAACAAAGGCAGTGAAAACAAAAATAAACAAGTAAGACTACATCAAACTAAAAAGATTCTGCAGATCAAAGGAAACCATCAACAAAATGAAAAGGCAACCTAAGGAATGGGAGAAAATATTGGCTAATCATATATCTAATTAGGTATTAATATCCGAAATAAGAACTCATGCAACTCACTAGCAAAAAACAAATAATCAAATTAAAAGATGGGCAAAGAATCTGAATAGACATTTTTCCAAAGAAGACACACAAATGGCCAACAGGTATGTGAAAAGGTGTTCAACATCACTAATCATCAGGGAAAAGAAGATCAAAACCACAATGAGACATCACCTGTTAGGATGGCCATTATAAAAAACACGAGAGAGAACAAGTGTTGGTAAGGATGTGGAGAAAAGGGAACTCTTGTATACTCCACCACTGTAGTATCATACGGAATAATTTCACTTTCCTAAAAATCCTCTGTGCTCCGCCTATGCATCCCTCCCTCCCCACTAACCCTTGGCAATCACTCATCTTTTTAGTGTCTCCATAGTTCTGCATCTTCCAAAATGTCATATAGTTGGAATTATACAGATTTTCACTTAGTAACATGCATTTAAGGTTCCTCTGTCTTTTCATGTCTTGACTGCTCATTTCTTTTTAATGTTGAGTAATATTGCATTGTCTGGATGTACCACCATTTATTTATCCCTTCACTTATTAAAGGACATCTTGGTTCCTTCGTTTTGGCAATTACAAATAAACCTGCTTTAAACATTTGTGTGTAGGTTTTTGTGTGGATATAAGTTTTTAACTCCTTTGGGTAAATACTAAGGAGTGTAATTCCCAGATCATACGTTAAGATTATGTTCAATTTTGTAAGAAACCGCCAAACTGTCTTCCACAGTAGCTGTACCTTTGGCATTTCCACCAGCAATGAACGAGAGTTCCTGCTGCTCCACAGCCTCCCTGCGATTGCTGTTGTACTACCTCAATTTCAAGTGCTTAACAGCCACATGTGACTAATGGCTACCATACTGGACAGTAACATACAGAATATTTCCTTCATATAATAAGTTCTACTGGACCTACTGCTTTGTTTAAAACTTAGTTAGTTTGTCCAACAGAGGAGGACCTAATGTGACAGCTTTTTATTTTTTTCTCTGCATAAATCCATCCCTTCTCCCATTGGATTCTGATGGTTCATTACATTTGCTCAGAAGTTCAACTTCCTGCTCAGCCACTTCTTAACTATATGCCCATTAACAAATTATTTAACCCCTCTGAGTCTCAGGTTCTCATCCTAATTACTTATTAATTCAGTGCATTAAATTAGATAAGCAAGGTAAGATAAATTACAACATTCATCATGTTAAGTCCTCATTTGCAAACTCTTTGGGTTAGCGGTTTGTTTTTTGAATGTCTCAGTATGGTACTGTGAGGGTCCTTACTGAAAGTAAAAGCTTAATACTATATTTACCCGATCTGGATTTTTGTAACCCAAAAGTAGATTCGCTGCTTTTATGTCACCATGAACATATTCATTTTCATGTATATATTCCAGTACATCCAACTGTGAAAAGAAATACATAATGTAACGTTATGCTGATGTCTGTTTAGAACTCAGGATCAACTTGAACATTATCAAGATAGAAGAACATATTTTTTTCATATGAACAATGACAGGGTGACGTATTTCACAATTACGTATTTATCTATGCTAAAATATCACCTATTCAGATGATAGGTGGTTACTCATCCTGGGAAAAAGTTTAATAAAATGATCTTCAAATAGCAAGAATAACTGAAACTCTGACGGAAAGAAAACAAGATTCAATAATGCCTAGGCCTCTCACAGCCCAGTGGCCAAATCACACCGTGCAAAGAGGAAAAACACAATAAAATCAGACATCTAAAGTGAAATAACCATGAAGCCCACTCAGCAGTTCCTCATCCAGGCAATTTATAAATCAAGTTTTGGGGACCCCAGAACAAAACACCACATCCATGAGCACAGAGAAAGGCATTCTCCCGCTGTACAGTAATAGAAAACACCTTAGCTTCATCTTTGAAACCCTTGAGCCTTGCACGTTACCTACACCTAGTGTTCATTTAACATTTGCTGGCTTGCTAGAAGGATGAATGGATGAAGAGGAAAATTAATAAGCTCTATTTTCCACATCCCAACCTGGTATGAGTAGTTTCATTCTATTTAAAATGGAAAAAATAAAATGGAGTTTAGGCAAACTGAACACAAACAAGATAAGACAAATATGTGATATAAACAAAATGTGTGCGTGGGTGCTATTAAGATTTCATTGCTTCTTATTTGGCAAAGTATATATTATTCATTGCCATACTAATTACTGCCACCATCCCAAATTCATAATAAAAACTTTATAGCATACCCATACCATCACATGTTTAATATGGAAAATAATATATTTTGTCATAGTTTGCATTGTTACAAATATAACCGACAAAAGAGAGGTTACTCTTATAGCTATGCAAGCTTGTTCTGATATGTACATCAAAGCTGTGAGGAAAAAAAATCAGACCGTAGAACCAACACCTAATTGAGTTTGTAGTGCCAAACACAGCACATTCTGTCACTTACAGAGCCCACTGTTATCAATTTCACTAAAATAGCCTCTACTCTCAATAACTGACATTTCTAGGGCAATAATCCTTCATTCTCTGATAATTCCACAAAGGGCAACGATTTGTATATTGTAACAAGTAAATAATCTGAAAATGGAGCATGTGAAATAAGTCATTCTTTCTTACCATTCGGATACCTAGCTGCAGGACAGTTGACTTTTTAAAGGTACCATTCTGGTCTGAGATCTTCTGCAAATCTATTCCTAGTCTTTCCATTACCATGAATCTGTAACTATAAGAAGGAAATGTCAAAAAGAGATCTTAAGAGAGCAACGCTTGAAACTGTCTCTTTATGAATTTGAAAGAAGGAAAAACACCCCAACCTAACAGTGAAGAATGATGCAATCTGAACCATTAGAGAAAGACTGTGCATTAACAATCTTGCTGTTCTTTTGCAGAAAGATACTACGCAGTGTTTAGTTCGCAGGTAGTCTTCTAGAAGGAGAGACTGCTGTGCTGAACCACTCGTGCAGTCTTAGATCACGGAAAGAGAATAGTCTTTCTAAATTAGTCTCAAATTTAACTCATTGTGACTACATCACCTTCTTGCCACATGGCCTTGAACAAATTATTTGTCCATACAGAAAATTTTTTCTTGACCTTATAAAATCATACTCACTTTTTCTATACATTTATAAACATGCTGTTTTTAACACGCACATCTTCCTTTTCTTTTTCTGTTTGGCACCTCCGCCCCTTATTTTCTTCCCTTCACTTAATACCCAGTTCAGCCCCTATTCTACATCTAGGTAAAACACACACGAACACAGACATATAGGAATTCTTGTCTTTGCTTTATAAAAATGTGATCTTATTATATGCACTTTTCTGCATCTTACTTTTTTCAATAGTATCTCATTGAAATCCTGCCAAGTCAATTGGTATAGCTCAAACTTATTTCTTTAATGGGCTGCATAATACTACATGATATGTATGCACCATGATTTACTCTGCCATTCAGTCATCTACTGCCAGCCCTTTACTTTGTTTCAAGATTGTTTGTTCATTTTGTTTTTATTTATAGCATTTAAAAAACATTTGAGCAAAGCACTGATCTCAGAGCCTGTTTTCTCACTTAAGGGAAAAAAATACATCATCTATCTTAAAAGGCTATTGAAAAGACAAAATGGGTAACTAAAAAAAGACAGAATTTTTTCTCTATTTATTATTTATATGCGATGACTAGCCATATTTGGTGATTAAACAAATATTTCTACAAGTTCTTTGTTGTGCCTCTCCTCAAGAGATGGAGATTAAAAACACTGGATGGACTTAGTGACTTTCTTCTAACAAAGAGAATACAGCAGAAATGATGGGATATCACTTCTAAGATTAGATTATAAAAACGCTGTGACTTTCTTCTTGGATGCATGCTCTTGTGTGTGTGTGTGCACTCTTTCTCTCTTTCTCTGTCTTTCAATGACTTGCTCTACCAGAAGCCAGCTGCCATGTTTAATACTCAGGCAGCCTATGTCTCCATAGGCTCCTACATGGTGAGGAAGTGGGACCTGCCAACAATCACACGAGTGAACTTAGAAGCAGATCTTCTTAGGCCTGCAAATAGCCACATGAGTGACCTTGAAAGCATGTCCTTCCCCAGTCGAACCTTGATGTGACGGCAGCCCAACAGACAGCTGACTACCTCCTCATGAGAAGCCCTGAGCTAGAATCATCCAGGTAAGCCATTTATAGATAACTGATCCATGGAAACTAAGAAATATTAGTTTGTTATAAGCCACTACATTTTGGGTAATTTGTAATATAGCAACAGATAACTAATAGACCACAAAAGAAATAGTTATAGGACAATATTTGATTATAATAATTCCATTTTACCTTCTTCCCTTGAATTCAGTAAGACCAGAGCCATAAAACAGAGGAATTCCTAAATAATCAAGTTGTTTCAGTTCTATCCATTTTTTGACTGCAAAGATAAATTTAACAGGAGAAAAGACATTTTTTAGAAAGGTATTTCTTACTTTTGCACAGATACTAAAACTTAGCTAACGTCAATAGAAATTAGACCTTCCTAGGAATTTTCTTGTGTGTGAGAAGAAGATTCATCCTGAGATAAGATCCGTTGCCAATAGTTCTCTTTTTTCGCTTTGAGGAAGATTAGTCCTGAGCTAACATCCATAACAATCTTCCTCTTTATTTTTTGTATGTTGGATGCCTCCACAGCATGGCTGATGAGTGGAGTAGGTCCACACCTGGGACCTGAACCTGCAAACCTGGGCTGCCAAAGTGGAATGCGCGCAACTTTAACCACTCAGCCATGGGGTCAGGTCCTAGAAATTTTTTTAAAAAATCAAATCTATCTGGGCTGGCCCTGTGGCCGAGTGGTTAAGTTCGTGTGCTCCGCTGCAAGCGGCCCAGTGTTTCGTTCGTTCGAATCCTGGGCGCGGACATGGCACTGCTCATCTAACCACGCTGAGGCAGCGTCCCACATGCCACAACTAGAAGGACCCACAACGAAGAATATACAACTATGTACTGGGGGGCTTTGGGGAGAAAAAGGAAAAAATAAAATCTTTAAAAAACAAAATCAAATATATCTATCTAATGGATTCAAATTCTGTTTATCACTATAATTAACACAAAAAAATATACAGAAATTATAAATTATATCAGTTATAACCAAAATAAAAGTAGTCAGTCATAAAATGCATTGGTATTATACACACAAATGTTTCTACTCACAAGAGCAAAATATCATTCCTTTATACACTAGTTAATTTTTAAATATAAATATGTTAACCACGAAAGCATCAGTAGAGAGATGGCTTTTTCTTCCCTATTACTTAAAAACCTAAAGCTATGTTAGTCAAAAAAATAAGAATTGGGCAGAAAAATCACCTTACTCTGAAATTATGTTATACAGAAATTGTTTTGATTAAATTTAGTTTAAAAAAATCAAAACCACTTAAACAATCAGGTAGCTTATTTAATTTTTCACTTTTCTACCATATATGTTTAATGTTTCGGACAGCTCTACTGATAAACAATCAAGTTTAATGGATTCTATTTGTCACTCTGACATAGTTTAAGCAGTTAGTAAAGACTATAGTCTTAATTTTTAGAAGGTTTTATTAAGAAAATCAAAGTTAATTATTGAGACTAGACTCATCATTCTTTTTCTTAGACATAATGTAAAGGACCTGGACTATATAGTCATTACTCACATCAACTTCCTTAAAGCTTTACTTAGTCCATTTATGTCATATAGTATTTACAAAATGCTTTCATTCTTCTTCAGCTCTGCTTATATTCATTTCACATTCAAATCCTCTACCTGGTAGTTCTTTCATCTGATATCCAGCTCCAATTAATTTCTCAACATTCAAGTTTCTAACATTTTAACTTATTTTCTAAATCAGCAATGTTTAATCATTTCCATACACCTTACTCTAATCCACTCTATGATCATTTCCTTTGTTTGTATACCTACTCCCCTTTTGAATGTCTTTTCCTTACATCCTTCCTATTCAACTGGTTTTTTGTGAAAGAAATAATTTCATTCTAATATCTTTTATACTTAGAGAACTCTTGGCAGCCTACATCAACAATTCAACATTTTATGTAAAGTAGTAGAAACAACTTTGATTTGAAATATATAACCCATTATGTAGGTAATATCAAGATTTGTACACCATTTGTCTTGCTTTTAAACATTACAATAAACTGTATCATTTTACAATAAAATTTCTAATTGAAAAGAATTTTCCAAAAGGCTAGAGAAAGACAAAAATATTAACACTCACTTTAGCAAGCATATATATGGAAATAGCTTGCTTTGCTAATTTTACTTACTACAGTCTGTTTTTGCAGCTCTTTGATAAAATTTAAGTTCTGAAAATAATGGGCCATTTTCTTGATATTCCTATAAAATAGAAGAACAATTAATTGTCTTAGGGAAAAATAATTTAAACATCAAATTGGTATTTCAACTGTGAAAATATAAGTATACATATGTAATATGCAATAATACTTGAATCATTTATTATAAAACCCAGGCACCAGGTTTCCACTAAAAATCTCAGAAAAGCACTAAACAAACTTGAAGAATCTCATTTTTAAATTTAACGTGTAATAATGCTACCCTAAACACTCTTACACATGAAAATAGTCTCCGTATGGAAGAACTTACTAGAAGCACTGAGAATTGAATACACACACATACACAGACATTCAACATGTACATCAGGTGAATACACTGAAAACTACCCTGGGGGTTCATTCATACATGACACCTTTATTGAGTGTCTACTATATTTTATTCATTGAATGAAGTAAGCACAGAGGATGCAAACAAAAATAAAACCTCACACTTGCCTTTAAGCTCCTTACCATCTAGAGTAGAGAGGAAGGGAGGGTAGGAGAGAAGGAGAGGACAGATAGCTCGATAAGATCCAAGGATGATAAGCGTCAATACAGAAGAATAAAGTTCTCCAGTCTTTACATTTTAATAATGTGAAAATACATCATAACATTAGGTTTATTGATAAGTAAAATTATGAAAACTAAGGTGAGAAACATTTTTACAAAAATAAAATGAACAAAGCAGAAAATAAAAAAGTCAAATATATGTGAAATACAAATTTAAGAGCAAAACTTACTACTTTTATTACATGTCTTGCATCTTTATCTGGTTTGTTTTTGGGGAAAGCTGAAAAACAAAACACAGCAGGGGAAAAAATAGTTGTTTACAATTACTGAATGCCTACTATATCCCAGACACTGTGCTAAGCACTTCACATGTATCAAATTATATTATCATATCCTCCCAAGAACCTCTTATGGTAGGTATTATCTCCATTTTACACAAGATCCTACTAAGGTTTGATAAGTTGAATAACTGGTTCACTAAGAAGAGCAGATTGGGGATTGAAACTCAAATCTGTCTAGCATCACAGCCCATACTCTTTACCATAAACCATATTCAAATATTCAAACACAGAAATCAACAGATGATATTAATCACATAGATCCAGATTTGGGGGAAAAAATTTCCTAGATATATAGCATTAAAGCCAAGATATGACATATAGTAAAATCCATTTATTCAATTTTACTAAATTAAAATCTATGATAATTCAGAGATAAAAGTTGATTCATTTTAAGTAAAAAGTTCAAAACAATTTCTACTTGGCAAAATTCTGAAATAAATCAAGTTAGAATGAGAATAAAGTCTTTTAAAAATCATCTTCTGAGCACAGCAATCAGTTATTTCTACATTAAATAATACTTAAAATACAAGCTCATTTCAATTTCATGTTCTTACTTCCCTTTATTATTTACCATTTACATTTTAGATATAGTAATCCAACTTCTGAAAGCTCCACTGTTCAAATTTTTAGATCAAGTCAGTCCCTTCCTCTATATTACCTAAACTGTTAAAAGATTACTGTTTTCAAATCTTGGTAAAAGAAGTTGACATGTATATTTATCTGTATTGTGAAAGCCTAGAATTTTGTCATTCATCTATTTACTCTTCTTCCATTTATTCCTTCCTTCATTCAGCTAACCAATATTTATTTATCAAGAGGCAAGAATATGCAAGGCACTGTGTTAAGGCTTAGTTAGAATATTTAAAGGCAAGTGAAAGGAAAAAGATGGAACTAGTATTGAATATGATTGAAAATTGGCACTTAGACTGAGAATACAGATCAAATTCTTCAGATATATTTTCAGTATATTTATCAAAACTCTGTGTCTTCTTCCTTGAGAGTATTATGCTAAGTGAAATAAGCCAGATAAAAAACACAATCTCTGTACGACTCCACTCATATGTGGAAGTTAAACACATGGACAAAGAGAAAAGATTAGTGGTTACCAGGGGAAAGGGGGTTTGGGGGGTGAACACAAAGGGTGAAGTGGTGCACCTACAATATGACTGACAAATAATAATGTACAACTGAAATTTCGCAAGGTTTTAAACTATCATAATCTCAATAAAAAGTAAATAAATAAATACTGAAAAAATTTTAAGTCTCTAAAACAAAAGAAAACTTTGTGTCTTCTTATCACTACTAACATTTTTCCTTTTCTTTCTCCTAACTCTATCAACTTTTTCTTTCCTCTATTAATTCACATGATAGGTGTAAAAAATATAGCAAAAATTCACTACAGTACATAAATTCTACCTTACAGTTGAGCAAACTCATGCACAATTTTCTTAACTATTCTCCAAAATTTGTGATGTCAGCAATGCTAATTAGCCAGTTGAACAAATTATTACTTCAATTTTAGTTGATATTAGATATAAATTGTGATCCCAGACCTTTTTACAGTAACAAAGAAACTAAACTTATTCACATAAATTAAAATTCTCTCTTCATCTTTATTCATGTAAAGTCATTTCATTTTCACCTATACAGTAGTCCCAAGGGAACTGCACGAGTGGCTTATCCACATCTAAGGAAGGAAAAGACTCAAGAGAGTATATACTGAAGGAGGAGTCCGGTCTTGGGATAGAAGAAGGGGTAAGAACAGCCTTTCTTCCCACCGCATGGCAAACCAGTTTTATTTGCAGGGTGCCAAAGGCTGGGAAGAAACAGCCCTGCCCAAACCCTGGTCTACTTAGTACAGCATAGACTGTAGGTAACAGTCTTCACTTCCTGATGTTGACGTCAGTAGAAACTTCCTGCTTCTTGTCTAAAAGCAAGTGGTCTCAGAGCAAATAAATCTTTAAGGCCAACAGAATGTAAAAAGCAAAAAAGGAAAACAGGAATTTCACCTAGACAAACAATTTACCATGTTGTCATTCAGAAAAAACATATCCAACCAATCCAATGTCCTACTTTTTGCTGATTTCAATCAGTATATCCCCACCACTTCATAATCTGAATCTTCCTTTCATCTTATTTCACACGAACATAATCACGTGTTGACACACACTTGAAACATCCCTACACGTGTCATTTGATAGCCACACAATATTCTCTATAAATTTCCAAGTCAAATTATATTGGAGGGCCTAAATCCAAAAATCAATTGACTAGAAAGCTCTTGGAGATGGATGTCAACAAATAAAATTGTCCTAGTTACCATGGAGGTCTCTTTACAGTAATCAATCAGTTAATTAATGAAACAAATATTTATTTTCTACTGTAAGTCAAGCCACATTCTAGCTAGTGAAATTAAATGATGGAAAACAAACATGGTATCTGCTTTTACAGTCTAGTAGAGAAATAAGACATTCATCAAATATTCATACAGAAGTGTAAAACTGTAATTATAATAAATTTTAAATGGAAAGGTAGATGGTACTATGAGAATGTATAATTTAATCTATATAAAAGGGAATGCTTGACAAGAATAGTTGGAGAGTTGGTGAAGGGCCAGTTGCAAATCTAGTTAATAATTTCTGTCTAGTGAAAGGTTTTAAAAGCTTGAGGTATAGTTGGAGGCCAGGAAACACTTAATTAGATTTCCATTCTGAACAGATCACTACATGTATGTGGAGAACAGACTGAGGAGGATTCAGAGTAGACACTGATGGATCAGTAAGGATTTAATTTCGATAGATCAGAGAAGAGAAGACCATATCTTAGACTGGAGTATCAAGGGTAGATGAAGACAAATGAGCAGATTCTAGAGATTCCAGAAAGTGAAACTGATAGGACTTGATGATGGAGGGAAGGGTAGGATGGCAACTGACTCATCTATTGGGGGTTGAAAAAATGATCAGTCATAGGCCGTGATAGTATTGAAAGTACAGTAGTCTCATATCTTCATTTAAATTCCTGACAAGAGGTCCGATGACGTGGTAAAGAATGTATTATGCACATATATGATATTTGCCTTCCTAGCATTTCTTTCCTATTCATTGGGAACCTTATCTGGTTTTCGTCTGAAGAATCAAACCTCCCACTATCCATGTGGATCTGGTAGGGCTGCCTATCACAGTGTATCCTCCCGTACATCCCAGAGCTGGGCATATGACCAGGCCTGGCTAATTGGAATATATAAGCCCACTGGCCACAGTAACCAGTTCAGAAAGGAGAAAATGCCCCAACTAGGTAAAAAAGTCTTCCTCAGGATTTGAGGTTAAAATGCTAAGTAACACAAGACAGACTATATGCTGTAAGGATATCAAAACCCTAGAAATAATAGTGATCACTTGCCTCAGCTAATGGAAAATAAAGTCTCAAAATCAAATCCAACACTGAGGAAAGTAGAGTTAAGGCTGAGAGAAAGAGCGAGCCTTAGTGACATTGCTTAAGCCCTAGATCTATCCATACCTGAAGCCAAAAGAGCCCTGTACTTCTCAGTCACGAGAGTTAATAAATCTCCCTTTTGCTTAAAATCACTTGAGTTTCTGACTCCGGCAACCAAAGACTTACGCAGAAGGCAACTTGAAAAACTAAAATATGACGAAGTCTCGTTAAGAATGTCAACAGACTAGCAGACTAGATAAATCAAAAACCTTCCTCTATAAAATAAACAAGATGCTGAACAAAATAAATCAAACTTCCTGATAAATCTAGAGTTGATTTAGAAAAAAAAAAAAAAAAGTAAGGAAGCCAAAGACAAAGAGAAATGTAAAAACCAGAGGGAAATGTACACGAGCATTGATGTTCCAGGCAACGCTGCAGATGTTCTCAGCAGGCTGCCCAGTCTGGGTCACCAAGGATATGAGTTTTAAAGCCCTCTTAGAAAAAGGACTAGTCCTTGGGCCTGCAAGAGGCAGAAATTTGAAGTTAAGGTGGCCACATAAAGTCAGAAATTTCAAAGTGCTACATTCTCAGTAGTGAGAAACACTAAACAGAGAGAAAGAAATAGGGATATGGGAGAGAGGCAATAGGGGGCAGAGAGGGAGATAGGGAGGGAGGGAAAGAGAGAAAGGAAGGAGACAGACAGAAAGAACAAAAGAAACAGAGAGAGAATCCATCACTACCAAACACAGAAAGAAGTTAAAAACAAAAACAAAAAAACCCACCTTGACTTGGCCTAGACCTTGAGTGTGAGGAAAAATAGAGTCTCTCTTGATAATTAATTATCCCAAAGCTACCTTCAGGAATTTGAGGTTCAAATTTACACTACAGTATGGTACAGGAACTCAAGCCAATGATAACCCACAGCACCTGGCAGAAGCAAAAACAAATTTCCTTCAAGGGATACAGGACCCACAGGATTACCAGAGATAAAGCATGGCTAAAGATGAGCTAATGATCCAAAATTACAAAACAAGAGAGAAAACAAAAGGCAGAAACCCCAAGAAACATAGACCTCCCATATAGATCGAGTATCTGTCCAAAGTGACAGCAGACACAAACAAAGGCATCAATAACATAAGAAATAATGTGAAATGCTCTGTGAAAACAGCTGAACAAATTGGTTGTAATTCAAAAAACATCAGCAATATAAAAGTGACCAAGAACAGGGAATACATTAGAACCCCAAGAGGACATCTGGGAGTAAGTTTAAATTTGGAATAGACAAATACTCTACCCAAATATCTATACTTGGTAGAACATTTAATAAATTGTATTATAGTCACAGCACAGAATACATTGTAGTAAAGAAAATGAATGAAATACAGATAGTTATAATGTTGAGTGAAAGAAACCACATAAAACAGAATGCATACTTATGATTCCTATTTATATAAATTTTAAAACCCACAAACTTCTATTTGTTTAGGGATGTACACATACATACTAT